GTAAAGGTAGGAGGATCAGAAGTTCAAAGCCACCTTCAGCGACATGGTCAAATTGAGGTAGCCTGGCCTACATGACATGATCCTTATTTCAAAAAAGAAATCCCATAGATTATCTTCAGCCAAATATAAATTAATAATAAAACATTACTTTGTATGTAAAAGGGTGAATGAAATTAAATCGAAAAGATAAAAAAATATAACATTTCAAGTATTGGATTAACCAGAACCAACTATTAAGTAATTAAATAAGACAGTTAACAAAATAACAAAAATTAGACAGGGAATAAATGACTGTAAATATGACCTAGTGTGTGTTTATGAGAGAAACTGATGTTATTTTCTTCACGAATGAGTAAAAAACAATGATGCAGAAAACTATAATGCATTACATGCTATCCCAGAGAGAACTAGAAATTAACTCTGTGGAAGTCAGAGCACAGAGATGTTCATCAAAAATGTGTGTGCCCATACACTGGGCAAGTTCTCACAGACCCACCTCAGTAACAGTATTTGGGCCTGAAGATGGCTCAGTCTTTGAAAATCATACCTTCTCTTGCAGAAGACTCAAGTTCAGTTCCCAGTATCCATGTCAAGTGAGTCACAATTACCTGTGACTCCAGATCCAGGGGTGCGTATCCTGCTTTCTGGTCTCCACATGCATGTACACAAAAACTCTCTCTCTCTCTCTCTCTCTCTCTCTCTCTCTCTCTCTCTCTCTCTCTCTCTCTCTCTCTCTCTCTCTCTCTCATACACACACACACACACACACACACAAAGTAAATACAATGAGATTACAAGAAAGATAGAAATTAAAGGCAATGGGGATACTTTATCTGTCCATCTTGCAAGTTCTGAGGTCAACTATACCAACATTCCAACAAACCTCTTCTAGACTCTGACCTAAGAACTTTCTCTACCATTGGACTGGAAGTGCCACTATGGCAGTAACTAAAGCAGGTATCACTACCACTGTGGTGTTTCTCCCAGGCAAACTGGACTAAAGCACTGTGACCAGGAAGTCTGTTGGGGAATATGATTTTAAGGTGTGTGACTTTTGTTTATGCTGCATTTGTTTCACTCTGTGAAGCTGTGATTCTTTGCCTGCCTAAAACACCTGATGGTCCTAATAAAGAGCTGAACGGCCAATAGCGAGGCAGGAGCAAGGATAGGTGAGGCTGGCAGACAGAGAATAAATAAGAGAGAAGGAAGGAGCTGGAGAACAAGGAGAGAGGACATCAGGGGCCAGCCACTCAGGAACCCAGCAAGCCATGGAGTAAAAGTGAAAGTAAGATATACAGAAGTAAAAAAAAGGAAAAATCCCAGAGGCAAAAGGTAGTCTGGATATTTAGTTAAAAACTGGCAAGCAACACACCAAGCTAAGACCAGGTGATTGCAAGAAAGAACGAGACTCCATGACTGATTTATTTTGGAGCTGGGTGGTGGGCCTCCCAAAAGTCCAAAAAGCCAAAGAGTAAAAGAGCAAAAGCATCACACAACAGGAATCCTCAAAATCCATGGCTTGTAGGGACTTCAAAAAGGGGGTCCCCAGGTGTAACGAGCATTCTTCCTACCAGCCTGGTCCTAGAGCCACATCAGCCCCAAATAACACAGAGAGACTCTATTAGTTACAATGCTGTCGGCCAATCTCCAGGGCTTATCATTGGCTAGTTCTGTCTTAAGTATTAACTCACTTAAGTATTAACACTAATATATATATATTTCTATAAAGTCTTATCTTACCGAGGACACCAGCCTCATGTGACCTCTCTTCCCAGGATCACATGGCGACTCGCGACTCTCTACTCTTTACTACATTTCCCAGAATCCTCCTCGACTCCTAGTCCCACCTATCTTGCTTCCCTATTGGCCAACACTGCTTTATTTACCAACCAATAAGGCAAACATGTACACAGAAGGACTCTCCCCATCACCCAGGGACTACTACCAAAGCTATCAACAGCACCCTAACAGAAGAGGAGGTAGCTCTGGGAGCTAAACCTATGGCTACCAGCTGCTCCAGCCCCTCTGAGAACTCAATAACTACAGCTGACTGGAGTTTGTCTCAGCATCCACGGCCTACAAAACAGTCAACAAAATCCCATATCCAAGGGCACTGGGAGCCCCCTTTCGAGAAGAACAAAACAAGGAGATAAGTGGAGAGAGCACCGTGTACAATCAGGACCAGGAGAAGGAAACACAGCAGCAATTGGCCAAGAGAGGAGATTCACTATTGTGTGATGTTTCACTCTTTTGGTTTGCAGTGGTGGCGCACACCTTTAATCTCGGGAGGGAGAGGCAGGCTGTTCTCTGTGAGTTTAAGGCCAGCCTGGCTTAGAGAACAAGTTCCAGGACTGGATACACAGAGAAACCCTGTCTCAAAAACTATAAATAAGTAGACAGACACACAGACAGGTAGACAGATAAATCTTCTCCCTCAAGTATGTGTTACTTTGTTAGAGCAACTGGAACAGTATAGTATGGTGATTTGAGTAAGAATGGCCTGCATAGGCTCATATATTTCAATGTTTGGTCCTTAGGGAGTGGCACAACTTGAGAAGGATTAGGAGGTGTGGCCTGGTTGGGTAAGTGTGGGCTTGTAGGAGGAAATGCATTATTGGGATGGGCTTTGAAGTTTCAACCGGCTAAGGCAGTCCCAGTGTCTTCTCTTCCTGCTGCCTATGTATCTGGATGTAGGACTCTCAGCTACTTCTCCAGCACTATGTCTGCCTGCATGCTGCCATGCTCCCCATTGTGATGATAATAGTCATTCCCATTTAAATGCTTTCCTTTATAAGAGCTGCCATGGTCATGGTGTCTCTTCACAGCAGTAGAACACTGACTGAGACATACAGCTACACAGTCATAAGGTGGGGAGTGCTCTGAATAAAATAGTCACAGTCACAGAGGGTCAGGGACAAGAGCATGGCATTGACTTCTGGTAGAAGCCTGAGTGAAAACAGCAAGTGATTCCTGGAATATCCAAGGTAAGAACACTCAACCCAAATTTATTCTATGGCTAGTGGAGAACTCAGGCCAAAACATCTAAGAGTAAAACAATGAGAAGCAGAAAGGCAGACCTGACATTTTTGTAAAGAAAAAAAAAGGTCACCTTCCTGTTATGGCAGGATAAGTCATGGGACCTGAAAATCACATAGACACAAACACACACTTGTGTGGATCTGTGCCAGGGAAAAGTATAAACCCTTACCACATGAGTTATATGCACAGATAAGGGCTGACGCTACCAACAAGCTTTCAACACAAGAGAAATGAACCCCGAGGTCACAAAGTGTCAGAAAGCAAATTTTCTTATGGGTTCTGACCATCTGCAAAAGTGAAAATGTATTGGCAGAATATCTGGATAGTTAAACACGAAACAATGGCAGGAAATCTCAGCCTCTATCCCAACCCTGAGACAGAATAAGCTCTGTTCCTACACAGACAAAGCGGGAGTCCTCCCTTCCACCCTCAAAATCAGTCTGAATAGATCGGATGAAGTTAGGAATACTTGAGTGTAGTTTGTTTAACATTAAGTAGCATTTGGTTACATAAAACACACATTTAAGGTACATACAGCAATTGAAGAATCCTATTTTATGCTTAGGAAGGTTGGGAGTATTTCAATACACTTGTATCTAGACACAGCAAGTTCTTTCAAGGTTCAGTTTGTACACACTTTGTCTATAACATTAAAAATTAAAGGGGACTGTTGAAATGCGGACCCTTTTGCCTTTCTTGAGCAATGGCATGATTATTTACTGTGGAAATAAACATTGGCAAACATATTATAAAGATGGGTTTGTTCAGTGGGTTCTCAAGTTTTTCTATAACTGTTTAATTCTCTTTGAGATCATTAGTTGTGTATATTTTTATCTCTGGTAATTTTGAAGTTAACTTAAATCTATGAAAATTGGTAAAAATGAGCAGAAACTACCAAATTCTGGAGAATTGAGGCTGCAAAAAGGAGTTGCCATGTTGCCCTTTAGTTTTTCTTGGGTTTCTCAGTAATGTGTCCCAGACTTCAGAAGGGTGATGGCTGCTCCCGCTGACCATATCCCAACATCTCAGGGTTTGTGCAAGAGTTCTCAAGGCTGTGTACTACAAGTTTCAATCTAGGGAAGAATTTTTGTGTGTTTAAGTGACATTTAGTACCTCTTTTCAACGTCTCCTGATGCAGATACCTACCCTGTTCTGATGAAGGTAGGAAGGACATTAACAGTGATTTTCACCAGCCATAGGCCTGGCCAGGAGTGAAAACACTGCTGTAATTATTATTTTTTTTTTTTTGGTTTTTCGAGACAGGGTTTCTCTGTGGCTTTGGAAGCTGTCCTGGAACTCACTTTGTAGACCAGGCTGGCCTCGAACTCACAGAGATCTGCCTGCCTCTGCCTCCCAAGTGCTGGGATTAAAGGCATGCGCCACCAACGCCCGGCTACACTGCTGTAATTAAACATTTTGCATTTCAGTTCCCCTTATCTGGTCCCATAGAAATGATCTTGATTTCTCACCATTTGAATCCCAATGAAAAGGGTAATGAAATCAGCAATAAGCATATTTAAGTAAGTATGAATGAATGGGATGAATACCTTTTAAAATCAACATAGCAGGTACAGGAGATTACCTAGGACTTTTAATATCTGAGATTTATAAATAAAGGCTATTAGTTTTGTTTTTTTTAAGTAATTGAATATGGGCTTTCAACATCAGGAAGCCATTTATTGCTCAGCATTATACACAGATGATGCTAAGTACTGCGTCGAGCATCTCATTTGCCTCCTCTCTGTGTTAATGAAGAATGGGGACTCAAGAAAAAGCCTCTAGTTCCCAAACAGCTCTGGATGTGGCTAAAAAGAGGGCACTTAGCAACAGAGGGGGAAATGACGAGAAGGAAATAGTTTTGTGTCTGGGAGCCATGTGGAATTCCAAGATAAGAAAAACAGTTGCTAATTCGAGTATAAAAGCAGGAAACACAATACACTTGCTTCCTTCTATGTAAACACAAGTATATGTGGGGTTGCGTGAAAATTATTTTTCTCTTGCTGAACCACAAAGGCATAGAATCAAACTGCTTGTTTTGGACACACTGGCTTCTTCTTTTTCTTGTGGATATTATGGCTAATAACACAACGAGTTTAGGGAGCCCATGGCCAGAGAACTTTTGGGGTAAGCTACCTTTCCTTTACTGATTTTAGTTTAAATTGAGATGCACCGGAATTCTCTGCATAGTTTATTACAACATTGGAGATCTCTGAATTGCTTGTCATAACTGTCTAGTGGCAGTTTTCATAGATTTATTTCAAGAAATATACTCTTTAAAATGTTGTCAGAGTAAGCTACAGATATATTAAAGAAGGATCAGACATAGAAAGTTTGGTTGGTATTAACAAAACTTAATTAGAAATGATGAGTTTTTTTAAGTGGAAATTTAGAAAAAGAAATATAAAGTAGAAGTCCTTGTTAAGTGGAAAATAACACAAGATTTTGTTGGAAAACTATATTTTATTTGTCTGAAGGTGATGGATTATATATTTTGTTTCCTGAAACCAAGGTATTCTACAGAGGCTTTTGAAGTCTGTGTTTTTGTCTATGTTATTCCTTATAATTTTCTAAGTCAATTTAGACAACAAGCCTATGCTTGAATGAATTTTGAGTATGGTGACAAAGGTAAAATGTGGAATTAAAAATGAAATTACAAATCTAGAAAAGATGAAGTATAGATAACTTTATATTACTACGATGGAAGCTTGTCACAAAAGGAAGAGAAACAATACCAAAGTGGTGTTTTGGCAGAGGCTATCAGCAACTCAAGCTCTAGTGTTCAGTGATGCTAAGAGCAGGATGTGCCAAGGTCAAAACCACCACCCATTCCAGGCCAGATTTAATATAGGAGCTGGGATGTGCAATGACATTGACATGTCTCTGTGGTTCCGAGAAATTTAAAAGTAAAGGGAATAACTTAAGTTAAACCTGAAGGACCTTTGAAGGAACATTGGAGTCTATTGAGAGATCTATAACCTTATTATGTGCAAGATGAGTTTTTAATCATCTCAGAAAACTGTACCAAGCTTTCTGCTGTGACTGGAGATATGGCTTCGGAAGCTATTTGGTAAATACTGAACAGTGGCGGCCATCTGGCCCTGACAGTCTGGCTTACTTATCAGTTATCACAGGTATTGGCATGAAGGGAATTAACTAAATATTTTTATTAATTAATAGGCTTGTTTCAAACTTCAAGAGGTTTATCAATGCTACAGTCATAACATTGCATAACAAGACAAGTGAAAAACAAGTTATCCCTACAAATTCTAGGTAGACATCAAAAGACAAGAAACTTTTGAATTCTGGATGGCCTAGTGGTACATTTGTGAAAATTACCTTACTGATCTCATTTCTATTAAATGATGGAAAAACAGCTAGAGTGCATCAAAGTGAATTCATCATCACAAAACAATTGTAAGTCATTCCAAAGTAAGTAATTGCAAGTGTAAGAATTAACATAGAAAAGCAAGTTCTGTCTTTTCCAACTATCCAAGTTAATCTCCACATTTATCTAGGAAAAAGAATTCATTTTTCATTGACTAGGCACAGATGATTAGGAGCTCATTTATTTATCCTAGCATTTAGATGTTTTAATAAGGAAACCTGTGCTTAGTAGGGATTTCAAGCTACCTATATCAAAGGTAGGTATTAATGCCCCCTTCTCTTGGCATGTAGATATGATAGAAGATAAAATAAGATGGAGAAAACCAAGAGACTGTTTTATTGCTAAATACTTTCAAACCAAAGCAAAACAAAAATGGTGAACCAAAAGTAAGTTTGATGCTCTGGGTGAAATATTACATTATTATTTCTAGGATAAATATATGAAGTGAAAGGTGTAATTATAGATTAATGTATGAAATGTAAATATTTCCTGACATATAAATGTCAGTCTTTCCTATTTTCATTTCTGTTTTGCATCTAAATTGCTATTTATTTTGATCTCTGGTCCTCTCAAAATATTAATTTGGGAAATTAAGCACAGTGCAGTAGATTACAGCACCAGCCTCCAGAAGGACTCCTTTGTGTGGCCCTTTGAATTAAGAGAATAAATAAAAATGGCGTAGACAATCACAACTCACACAGGGAGCCATAGGAATGCCTCAAACTTAAGATATTGAGATGCATTAAAAGCTCAAAATGTAGGCGGGCATTGGTGGCACACGCCTTTAATCCCAGCACTCGGGAGGCAGAGGCAGGCGGATCTCTGTGAGTTCGAGACCAGCCAAGTAAGTTCCAGGACAGCCTCCAAAGCCACAGAGAAACCCTGTCTCGAAAAACCAAAAAAAAAAAAAAAAAAAAAGCTCAAAATGTAACTTTCTGGTTTGCTTAAAGAATGCAACATTTTAAGTAATGATATCCAGTGGCTACAAACAAAGATAGCTTGCATTTTTTTTCAAAGCTGTCACTCAGTCAAACCTACTAAGAGTTTTGCAGGCTCTAAAACCATTGATGCCACTAACAAAAGTGGCCTGTGACTGACAACGAAGACGACCCCACCTCCCGTTCCACTTGTGCTGCTCAGTGCATACCCCTCTCTGTAAGCCATCCCATCAAGGCAGCAGGGACCAGAGACCCTCACAGTCCACTGGGCTGACAATGACGTGGAACTCGTGCGTTCTCTCAGGACTTGGGAGTCCACACGTGACACTTGTGTTTCTCTCTGCTGTCTTCTCAGTGTGCTCATTTTCCATCCGTTTGGCTAGCGCTGTGAAAAACCGAGGTAGAATATTGGTGTATGGGCTTGCATTTACTCATCTAGTCTGATCCTCCCCCAAAATGAAAGATTTCTCTTTTAAAGTGGTTTCATTCTGGGAGGAGATTAGGTGTTCCTGCATATGCAAACAGAAGCCTACGACTAAATCAATAACAGTATCGATAACTTCCGTTTTGTCATATGTTACCATTATTTTACACAAAAGGACCAAGAATGAGAATATGCTATAGAAGTTAAAATGTGAAACGGTCCCTGAATTATTTTAGGAAAAAAAATGGGTTATTACCTATTCCTAGAAAATCAAATGAGTTCCAAATAAAAAGACAATTCTAAGGATAACATTCTGGTCATTCATTTCTGATATGGTAACTCAGCCTCCTCCAGGAAATTCATTCCCTCTGTAGCTCTGGTTGACCTTATTAGGCAACATATCAAGATGATACAGATAAGGTGCTATCTGAGAATTTTAGGGCACTCGGGAGAACTGTTATCAGCAATTGAGTGAAGCAAAAGCACTAGGGTATGCGTGCAAAGAAGCAAATGGCAGACCAGGACATCTCTATGTGGAGATTAAAGGACAGAGCTGGAGATGAGAATGGAGGCAGGTGTCTTTACGACTCTGGGTAGCAAAGCAGAAGCTGGAGTTACTGTGGCAGACTCTCTTGCACTGCGGTAACCCCAAGGCTCCTCTCCCCTACTGCTTTGGGTTTCTCCCTAAGGTTGGAAATAGCTTGTGAGGATGATGGTGACTCAGGTGCAAGAGGGAGTAGACCAGAAGTTCTTGATCAAGGTCCTCTGCTGACATCTACTGACAAGTGTGTCTCATCTGCCCTGGGGCTAATTCTCTCCCTGTCTTCATTGGTGGAGCCCTTAACTGCAAAGCCAGGTTCTTGAGATCGGTGCACTTCTGACTAAGAACATAAATAGTCTCTTTTGTGAGACTCTCTAGTTGACCTGATGACTCTCATTCCATTACTTTCCCGTCTGTCTCAACACACAGAGCCACTTTACTGTTCTCCTATAACCCTGGAACTTTGGAAGCCTGATTCTTGTTCTGCCCTTTCTGGCTTCCAGTGCTTCTTATGAGGGCCTGGGAGCCTCACTACATCTATCAGTCTAGGAGTGGGTACCAGCTACTGAGACTGCATAAAGGATGGAGGGATGCGGGAATGGCCTCTTTACCCAGAGCCCTCATTGCTCATATACCGTAAAGCTCTTGTCTTTCTTTCCCCTGACTTCTCTTTAACCTGTTCGTGAAAAACAAATCATACAGGTAATATATTCTCGTTCCTGCTACTTTTCATGGCAAAAAAATACCTTACATTTTTGAGTTCTTTAGGCTTCCAGTGTTTTGAAGCTGAAGCAGAAAAAGAAACAAACCACAAATACTGTCTGGGTTATAAAACACCCCATTATTGCATTGCAAAGCTGGCTTTCACAATGATGTTCTAGTCTTCGTGTTTAATGATTCACTTGTCAGTTTAGCAGTAGAAGACCTACAGCTGTGAACCCTTGCTTATTGCCTCGACCCACTCTGAGGTAGATGAGGGTTACAAACTGGTTTGTTCGGGAGACAGGGCTGTCAAGGGGTGAGATCCTTAGCTGCTTCCTCAGCCTATAAAAAAAAAAGTTATGCCTCAACCTATAGCAAATGATGTGTCCCAGCCTGTAGAAAAGATGTGGCTTTTAGGGGGTCTAGCAAGCAGATGAGATAAGAAGTTTGCAGAGTATCAGGATGGTGGTGGAGCAGGCATGGGTGGTTCGTGGGTCTCTACCATTGTGCTTTCAAAACAGCAAGCAAACACTGCCCATTTCTCAAGCTCATTTATTCAGTTATGCGTTGTTACATATGAATAGTCTAAGGACTATTCCTGTGTGTCTGTTAGTTAGAAACTTTGAAGAACAAGTGTTTACAAACGTAGGTTCTGAAAGCAGCTGCACCTGGATCCCGAGGAAGATTCATGAGACTGTGTCTCTCACTGGGCTCCATGCAGCTGAGGTTATCATGGAAGTGGAGTCCAAAAGCTGTATGTATTTCAGTCATCCCTGGTCTCCAGACTTCTGCACTGATATCATGAGAACTGTCTTTTCTGTTGTTGTTGTTAAAACAAAGCTAGATTTGGGTATCAACATCATGCAAGCCTTGTGAAACAAATCAGAAGTATTCATTAATTTTGGGCTATCTGGAAGAGTTTATGTAAATTCTTATTTATTATCTAAAATATTCACCATTGGTGACATTGTATATGATATTTTAAGCTGGGGGTTTACAATAACACTTTCGTTTAAAATTATTTTAAGTGTGTATGTGTGTGAGCGTGCGTATGTGTGTGTCTGTGTAGGTAGGTGATCCTGGCAGCCAGAGGCATTGGATCTCCCAGAGCAGGAGTTACAGGTGTTCTGAGCTGATCAATGTGGATATAGGACCTGTGTAAGATCAGTGAACCCCTGAGCTGTCTCTCCAGCACCACATTCTTTTCTATTTTTTTTTTCTTTTTAGACATTGAAGGGCCACTGAGATCTCCCAACTCTCTTCTTGGTTATGACAGTTTGTGTTTTCTAAGAATTTGCCACTTGAAGTATATTTTCAAACATATCCAGTAGAAGTCATTCATACTATGTTGGCATGTCTTCCCAACACTTTATTATGAAAATGTTCACTGGACAAAAACGTTTGAAGAATTCTACAGTGAAGACTCATTCATTCTGTGTCTCGCTTATTTCAGTTTCTATAATGCTTTTCGGGTCCATCTGTATTGTTTTAAATTGTAAAATTTCCTTTCTTTGTTCTTTTTAGGTTCAGTAACACTTTTCCATTGTTATGCAGCATTCATACATATCTATATGCTGCTAAATAACATGGGATAGTTTTGAGAATTGCATTGTTTGGAATTTTTGTCGTGCAAACACTATAGACTCCACACACACAAACTAAGATGGCTTTTACAGGGCTTGGTGACAGGGTCTTTTGAAACCCTCATCATAAAGGTGACCCACCACTCACCAAAACATCATTATGTCACTCAGGGCTCAGCAGGCTCCATTTCCTCAACTTACTCATCTGGTGATGGACATTTGGCTTGATGTCATGTCCTGGGAATTGTGATCAAGTACTGTTGGATTAAAACCACACCCAAATCTTCATAGCCTGTGTTTGACTATCACCCTAATTAAGGTTGCAGTGCTAGTATTATTGCTTTGATTCATTCTGTCTTACTATTGCAGACATAAGTTGGCTTTCTATCTTTCAAATCTGAGGGCAGTTGTAGCTTGTAATGCATAGATATCTCATTTACTAATTTTTGGGAATATGAATTGAACCTGCTTCCTGTAATGGGGAAAGAGATAAAAATTGGTGTAAGAAGTGGGTCAGGTTGTCATTTTGGAATGAAGAGACCTCACAAGAAGGTTAGGTTATACCTAAACAAAAAAGGAAGAGGGCTGGAGAGATGGCTCAGAGGTTAAGAGCACTGACTGCTCCTCCAGGGGTCCTGAGTTCAGTTCCCAGCAACCACATGGTGGCTCACAACCATCTACAATTCAATCTGGTGCCCTCTTCTGGCATGTAGGCAGAACATTGTATATCTGATAAATAAATAAATCTTCAAAAACAAAAGGAAAATGGAAGAAAACAAAAGACATAGAAAAAGTAACCATGTAGATACCTACAAACATATTTTTGAAAGAGCAGATTAGATGATCAGAAGCATGTTTGGTGAAGAACAAGAGAGGAAACACATGATTGGCTCAGGTAGGAGACATCAGCCCATATTTAGGATTTTGCTTTTCCTGGGGAGGTGGGATGGGACATGTGTATGACATGACTGGACTTGACTGCATGATTGAAAAGAAAGGGCAGCTTGAATACACATGGATGATGCTGCCAAGACAAGAAGCATAAAGCAGCATGAACCCCAGCTGGGGACGCTGGGGTCCCCCACAGCGTGTGGTGATGCTGGAAAAGCAGCAGCATGGACAGGGAAGGCTGAACCCTGTTCTGTTGTTGAGCCCAAGAGAATTTTCCAAAGGAAGCTATTTATCCTTTGCATTGTCAGCTAATTGTAATCACTCACATTTCTGTGCACTAAGGTAGTTTCCCCCAAAGTCCTTTCATCGCAGCCTTCCTATCACTGAAACTACCCTCGTCTACAGGAAAGGATGATCTGTTTCGGGATAAGGTGAGCCTATGAGTCCCGCAGCTGCAGGGCCGTGAATGTATTCACCAGCGTTCAATTTTATGATCACCTAAGAAAATCACGGTGGAATGTTGTAACAATTCAGCAGTGGCCCACTAGATGGTGACCTCTACTAAATGTTCACACCACTTACAGCATTGGGGTTGTGATTATGCTTTCTGAGATCCTTGGTCAACTTTAAGATCTTTGAGTTGGAAGACACCATGATGGTGTCTGTGAGGAGCAGCATTTCTGAAACTTCTTTATCTTCAGAATTTAAGATTTGGGGGCCTTGATAAAGTTAAGTTGAATCATGTTATGGAAAAGAAAGACAAATTTTTAGGTTCAATTATGTTTATTTGATTTCTAAAATAATATCTGAATTTATGAAATCCCTGAGAACATTGAACTACGATATCATGACTTCTTATCTTTGTGGGGAAGATTTTGGATCAACAGTACTGGATTCAGTAGCTTTGCCCTAAATTACCTTAGATTTCAAATACCATCTCAGAAAGAACTTGACTTATGATTAATGTAAAGTATTTTGGGAAGTTTTGATATAATTATACATGAAGATATTTGTAATAATAACAAAGGCAGCCTTGCCTCAGGACATCCTTGTGGAATAAGAGGCAGAGGGACACTATAACATAAATCCTAAAGTTAGGTAGTTAGTAGTGATTGTACTTATGTATTTATTAGTGTTTATTTAGTTTCTGCATTCTAGATATTCTATATGCTATATTGGCCACCATGCTAGCTTGGCTTTATTCCTACATCTGCCATGGAGAAGTCCCCAAACCAACCATGGTGAAAGCAGAAAGGTATAAAGGGAAGCCTTCCCGCCAGCCTGGTTCCAGAGCCGCATCAGTCCCAAATAAACACACAAGAGGCTATATTAATTATGAAGCTGTTGGTCTTGCTTGTTTCTTACTGGATAGCTCTGACTTAAGTATTTATCCCATAATTGCTAATCTAAGTATTTCTCCTACCGGAGAGGTTTCCAGGCTTCCTACCCCACGGGGTTACATCTTGGCTTCCTGTGTTTCTCCTTCCCAGAGTCCTCCTGGACTCCTAGTCCCACCTATCTTGGTTCCCTATTGGCCAACAGTGCTTTATTGACAAACACACAGGACTTCCCCAACAGAAAGGCTCTTGCAGTTTAGACCTAAACTTACAAAGTTTCTTTGTATCCCATTGGTCAAAGAAGTCCCACTGAGAGCCCTTAGGGTAGGGGAATAGACTCTATCTGCTAACAGCATTACAAACAAAGAACCTGTGCCTGTGACCCCTGTATTAAAGCCTTCATACGCATATCTCCAGTCTCTAGCTCTTGGCCTGCAGAATCCTTGTAAAGGCAATTTAAAATACGCCTTGCCTTTCTAGTTAACAGTAACTCATTTTTTTTTGTACGAGGAAGACAGTGATGTGACAACTCTGTAAGAATGAGCTCCCCAGACAGAGATTTATGTCCGTTTTTAAGGAAAATTATACACGAGTGCACAGAGGATTGGAAGGAATCGCAGGCTCTGAGACAGAAAACAACAACACAGTTTGAGGCTGGCTCATGGAGAGGAGTTAGGAGGAAGGCTCTGAGCAGCAAGCTAGAGGGGGCTTAAATATCTAGAGGTCTTCCATGTAGAGGAAGGGCTCAGCCTCTCCCATAAATTCATTAAGAATATGCTTTCACTTCCTGAGGAGCAGCCCCGGAGCACCTCCATCAAGGGAAAGGTGTCAGAGCTGTGTACACATCTGTTCTAGCCTGCAGGGGAAACCAGGGCAAATGCAAGCTGGCAGAATTGGAGGGCACTGGTGTGCCATGGAAATTTGTGGAGATTCTGGAGGTGAGGTGTCATTATCATAACCCAGACATGAGGGAAGCGTGGGTTGTAACTGGAAGAACAAGAAAGAGCCCCGGTGTCATGTCATTGTGGAGTCAGGGATCTGAGAGTCTGGGTATTAGGAAATACGACATAAATCAGTCAGCCCTCCAGATGGTTTTGTCCCCGCACTTCCTACCTCTGACAGAGTGCAGGAAGTGAGGTGTCATCCAGACTGCAGGTGGGAGAGATCAGGGTGACACAGCAAAGCAGAGAGAAAAGCCAGCTTAAGGCTCTGATGATCTTCTTTAGCAAGGGCACATTAGCTCCAATTATAATTCAAAGGGAAGTGAGCTGTGGACATTTGCAGTTCTGTAAGAAAATCCGGTAAGTTAAAGTCGCTCTTCAGTGATGCTTTAATTTCTAAAGATGATACAGGAACACGAGTGAACGCTTTCAGTTTGAATAAGGGGGAGTCCTGATCATTCTCTATTTCCCCAATACAAAGTATGTTAAAATTCCGAGCCCATTCTGAGAATTACAGTTCCTACTCTGCCCTGTGGTTACAAATGAACTGTCCCTGAAGTCAGAGCTACTGGGTTATTGGCTGTTCTTTGTTTCAGAGGATCTTATTATGTCCTTTACTGTTTCCGTGGCGATTGGGCTTGCAATCGGAGGATTTCTCTGGGCGCTGTTCGTTTTCCTGTCTCGAAGAAGAAGAGCCAGCGCGCCCATCTCACAGTGGAGTCCCACCAGGCGACCCAGGTCTTCCTACAACCACGGCCTCAACAGGACTGGATTCTACCGCCACAGTGGCTGCGAGCGACGGAGCAACCTCAGCCTGGCCAGTCTCACCTTCCAGAGACAAGCTTCCCTGGAGCTGGCCAATTCCTTCCCCAGGAAATCGAGCTTCAGGGCTTCAACTTTCCATCCCTTCCTGCAATGCCCACCGCTTCCGGTGGAAACTGAAAGTCAGCTGATGACTCTGCCTGCCTCCACCGCCCCATCGGCCATCAGTACCATGCACAGTGCCAGCCGGCCCGACTTCCGCTGGTCCAGCAATAGCTTGCGGATGGGTCTTTCCACACCACCGCCACCTGCTTATGAGTCCATCATCAAGGCATTTCCCGACTCCTGAGTCTGGGCGTCCGTTGTTTTTAATTCTTTTTCAAAACAACATTTTTTGTCTCTTCTAGAAAGGAAATGATATGTAGGGTAAACAGAATTTTGGGGTCATAGGCCCTAGTGATTGATTTTTCAAGTTGATAGGTTCATGAGGGCTGAGCATTGCCAAGCAAGGCTCAGTTTCTTTTGAACACGTTTTTTCTTACATATGTCTCACTAAAGTATTATTTTCTCAAGTAATCCTATATTTCTGGGTTTTGAGTTCAGTGTGAGGCATTGAATTAAAGATACCGATTAAAGATTCTAACATACAAATCATGCATATTTGTATGTTTTTGGTTAAGAAGACTTTAGATGTTTTTGTTTAGGGTTGTGATCCCTATCACTTTGCCACATGACTGCTGACAGACAAAAGTCACTAAAATCAAGAAATTTTAATGTTATTTTCTGGGTGACAAGTGAGTCAGTAGAATCCTAGAATCTCGGTGCTTTAATGTACAAGATGACGGAACAATGAATGTTATAAAATCCCGTGATTCCACTCAGTTATGTGAAAATCAAGCAAAAAAGCTAAGCCCAGCTGGTGTCATAGGATGGTTCAGTTTTGACACTTAGCTTGTTTTAACCCAGAGAGACTCATTTTGTAGTTCTTCCCAGTATAATTACCCATATCATTGAAGTAAAACCCTTGGATTTAGTAACATGAGGATTGAACATGATTGTTGTAGTTATTACCAAAGCAACAGTTTCTACAATTAATTTGTCCTAAGACAAATTTTTATTTTACATCAAGGAACATTTTTCTCTCTTGGATTTGGATCCAATGACTAGGAAAGCACTTTATCTAGGGTAGTGTTTCTCAACCTGTAGGTCACAACCCCTTTGGGGGTCTGATGGCCCTTTTAAGAGTTGTTGCCTAAGACCATCCGAAAGTACAGACTTTACATTGTCATTCTTAACAGTGGAAAAATTATAGTTATGAAGTAACAACGAAAATAATTTTATGGTTGGAGGTTACCATAACATGAGGAACTGTATGTTGAGAACCATGGCTCCATGAGGAACTTCCCTATTAACTCTGTGGACAAATAAAAATTGTTCTACAGAGAGATAGCCCACAGTGGAGACACCCTGCCTCTCTGAAAAGCAATTCCTCCTGGTCATCTCAACCCCCACCCCAGTACTGTCCCCTGGGGTGATGCTCTGTGAATTCCATTTCCACCTTCTCTAAAGTCTTTCCAAGGTGACCCATGCAGACTCTAAGACCACTGTTTCAGATAGTCACCCAAGGAGTCCACATCAACAGGTGGAGGCATCTTTAATGTGGGCACCAGAAACTTTCAGTGGTTCTTTTGCTCTAAGGACAGTTCAATGGGGGGGCATTCAGAAACGGATACATCAAATATTCAGCTTGTGTTGTTCATTCTTCTGTAGATTGGAGTTTGCAGTGATACCCACTGGTCCCAGCTAGTGCTGTCTGATCATAGCTCAAGAATATAACTATTTGCATCAAAGATCCCCTGTAGAATATTTTTTCTTTTTTTTCTGAGACAGGGTTTCTCTGTGTTGCTTTGGAGCCTGTCTTGAAACTCGCTCTGTAGACCAGGCTGGCTTCAAACTCACAGAGATCCACCGCTTCTGCCTCCCAAGTACTGGGATTAAAGGCATGTGTCACCAACACCCGACTTAGAATATCTTTATTAGTATCATAGAATTTGTACTATCCATTGTTCCTCAAGAGAAATTATTATTCAAAATGCCTAACAAAATATCTTGTAATTAAATATGGGGGAGAAGAAGGAAGGACAGAAGGAAAAAAATACAGCAAAACAAGAAGCTAAGATACATTGGCATCTTTTTAGTAAGGAGATGTAGAGGCTGTAACATAGCCCCAGTAAGATTTTGCAAAAGCATCAGCTTAGTGACAGGTCTAATTTTAGGTTGTATGTCATCCCTAATGTTTAACATGGGGAGCAAAGAAGGCAAGCTTTCTATCACTCATGTATACTGGGGATGAAAGCTGTCCCTATCTCCCAAGGGAAGGAAATGAGAGTAGAAGGTCTCTGGTTCATTTGACTATCTGGCAGAACTCTTGCTAATTCAGCCCGTGTTATAAAAAGACCAAGAGGAGTATTTTATAAATATCGTTTATTGTATGAAATGTGAAGTTAAAACCAAAGCTGGAAGAGCTTTTAGTTGTAATTGTTTTATTTGAAATGTTTTGTCAATTTTGAAATAAACTGAGAGTCAATTTCAATTCACAGTTTATTTATTGACTAATTAAAAAAAACACCTTCTACAAAGAAGCAAGGGATCTGCGAAATAAATAAATCTATAAATAAATAAATAAATGTGAAACAGAAAAATGCATAAATTGTGAGACAGAGTCTCACTATTAGCACTGGCTGGCCTGGAACTTGCTATGTAGAACAGGCCAGCCAGTAACTCCCAGGGATTTGCTTGCCTCTGCTTCCTGTGTAATAGAATTAAAGTCTTGCACTGCCATGCTTGCCTTAAAAAAGATATAATGAAGAAATAACATGGAGTTTAAGAATTATTTATTGTCGTTGGTATGGGGGCACATGCCTGTAATTCCAGAACTCAGAGTTTTGAGGAAGGAGATTCCACTGATTTGAGTCTAGCCTGTATTATACAAGATCTAACTTTAAAAGCACAATAATTGTTATTGAATAAAAGCATCTGGTAGGCCACTGTTTGTAAATGCATACACCAAGTTCTTTTTCCCACAAAAACATGTGACAGAGACAAGGTAATGGGTAATTAAAAAGTAGTAACAAGTATTTACTACAGAAGTTAATATTTAGTCTACTAAATTAGTTATTTACTTATAAGAGAGAATGTCATACCACTATTAGCAAATATATGTAGAAAAGAGGGTCCCTTCCATATTTCTGGTGACCAAGTACACCGGGGCTGCCTTTTACAAGAGTCTAATGAAATGTACTAAGAGCATTGTAGTGTGTGCCTACAGTCCTAGTACTTGGGAAGTAGAGGTAGGAGGATCAGGGGTTCAAGGTCATTATCAGCTACACAGAAACCTTGAGAACAGGCTAAGCTATAGGAAAGCCTATCTCAAAATTGAATAAAGTAGAATAAGATCCCTATATTGACCTTAACAATCCTATAAGGCACATAATTTTCTGTAAGAGAAGTTCTGAATTATTTTTAGGTAGTTCAATCCTGATATAATAGCCATGTACAACTGAACCAGAACATTCTATAACATGGTAAGCAAATAACCAAATTTACTGAGTTGTCCTTTGAGACAAGAAATAGCTAAGAGGAAGGGAGAAAGCCAGAGAATTGCCACCATGGGTAACATGGAGGAGAAAACGATACCGGAAAGGCAGAGGCATGGAGTAGACAGAGTACGATGTCCTTACAATAAACCCCATTCACGAAGGTAGCATTTACCATTCTATGACTCTATAACTTGAAAAATTGACTCCCTAACTTGTTAAAGTGACAAGAAATGAGAAATACATTCTTGGGGTGTGCCCTGGGATAGCTCCTCCCTGACTCAGGCAATTAGACCCCTGTGGCAGGCATAGGCACTCATAGGAACACTTTCTTTGAATTGTTCTAAACCTGACTCAAGAGTGGGGGGCTGTCCAGGGCTGGCAGTGCTCTCAGCACAGGACACCTGTGAGGATCCTAGCCCCTGATTCTCTTCTTTACATACACTCTGATCCTTTATTTTCTAATCGAGGACAACTAGGTGCCCTGGGGACACTGTAACTTTTATAAGTCCACCGCTGTGGCAGAATCCCAGTTCCAAAAGGAAACCAAAACACATCTGCAGAGAAGGATTCATTTCCTTCATGGAATTCCGTGTCAAGGGACCGGCAGAAAAAAATGCAGCTGTTGTGTGATTGTGCATTTCTTCAGAGTAAAGAATTTTCATGAGCACTGACAGGCGGGTGAGCAACTACAGACATATTTCTTCTCTTCCTGTTTAAAAACTCATAGACCAATTACTGACACCCTCCCGTGAATTTTGTAAAAAACATCTTTCCATACAAGGTAGTGCTATACACATGGTATTTTTCCAGGGGTCCATATACCGTAGGTGTGTATTCCTGCATTGAGATAATGCAGGGGAACACACTCCACTTTGATTAGGAAAGCAGGGCCATCTCTGTGTAGCTGTAACAGAAGGGTTGGCATCTCCGAGGCTTTCTGTGTAGACACTGTTTACTAGAGAGCTTTTGATATTGTAGGTGGTACTAAAGTGGATTCCACAGTCAAAACCATGTAAGACACAGGATTTGGATGAATCTCTCTTATTTGGGCTTCTGAGTAGAAGGCAGCCATGGGAAGCACTTGCCTCTAGAGGCTGTTTTAAGATACACTGAGGAAATGACTGATCACATTCTAAAAGGTGTGACCGGGAAGACCCATGACTGCAGGGTTAGGGGGGTCACTACAGCCAAATGACCTTGTTGCCTGTACTTTGTTCTCTACAACCACTGAAAATAACCTTAGAAGTAGATGGAGTTATGAGCTCTGGGATTGCCAGAATGCTAGGGACATCATGATTCTAGACTCTTTTTTTTTCTTTTTTTGGTTTTTCGAGACAGGGTTTCTCTGTATTGTTTTGGAGTTTGTCCTAGAACTCACTCTGTAGACCAGGCTGGCCTTGAACTCACATAGATCTGCCAGCCTCTACCTCCCGAGTGCTGGGATTGACGGTGTGCACCACCAATGCCTGGCAATTCTAGAATCTTTATTGAAAAACCAAGCTATTAAGGAAGAATGTGCTTAGCTCAGCCGGGCAGTGGGAGGGCTAAAACCTAAAATTATTTCCTGACTATAGTGAGGACAGGGGGGTTGGAGTTGTCCACTCTTCATGAACAGAAGGCAAATACTGGAAGCATCAATGCAGTCATGGTGGCCACAGCCAGATGTTCCTTCAAAGATGAAGAACAGAGAGACAGTTTTGATGAAGTGCAGAACAGAGAGCTAATACTGTTTGAAAAAATAGCTTAGAAGATCAATGGGAAAGCCATTGTGAGAGAAAAGTTAGAAAATACAACAGCAGAATTTAGCAAAATGTATCCTAAATAGAAAACCATAAACACACACACACACACCCTTCCAAAAGTCAATAACCCAAACAACAAAGAAGCCGGGCAGTGGTGGCACACGCCTTTAATCCCAGCACTCGGGAGGCAGAGGCTGGCGAATCCCTGTGAGTTCGAGGCCGGGCTGGACCGACAGCCTCCAAAACAATACAGAGAAACCCTGTCTCGTAAAAACCAAAAAAACAAAACAAAAACAAACAACAAAGAAAAGTCATTCTGCTAAAACTCCACAACAAGGGTGGGAAGAGTAGCCCAATGATTACAACCCTTGCCTGATACACTTGAAGAGCTGGGTTCCAGGCAGTACCACAAAAGCAGACACTGGCACTGCTAATGCTGGGGAAATGGAGTCAGAAGTTCAAAGTCACCCTCTGTTAAATTGTAAGTTTTATGTCGGAAGGGAATACACGAGACCCTGACCTCTCTCTCCTCTCTCTATCTCTCCACCTCCCTTTCCAAAACAAGAATTCACAAAAAATAACACACACTAGAATTCTGATGATTTATAACAGACATCTCCAAGACACAGTATGTTCATTGTTGAGAACACCTCATGTATGTGTTTTAAAACAATCAGGAAAATTAATAGAATGGACCCTAATACCATCTGAAGCTTACATGGCCACATGTACACACACCGTGCAAAGCTACGATTTACTGTGATGCTTGGAAGAAACACACTTGTGAAAAATTAACTATTTCATACTGTTACTAGAAATTTGCCATGGATTCAAATGCCAATCTCCTTTTTTTATGTTTCCCTTTCCCTGACCCCCCCTCCACTCCTTCTTCTTCTGCTTCTCTCAACCTGTGTGTCATCTCTCCTTTTGCTTCATAGAATGCAAGAATCAATTTTGTTCCCACACTAGTGTATAAGACAAAGCCAGAGGTTGGCGCCATGACTTTTCTGGACAATTAAGCAGAGAGGTTACGTGGGGAGCACAGAACATTGCTTGTCTTCCTCCAGCCACTTCTCAGGTCTGAGTTCCTATGGCTGACCATCTGCCCATGTGTGACAGGAACAGTCACCACACTGAGTGAGTCCCACTGCTTAGGAAAGAAGGCTCTTGACCAAGCAGAAGTGGTGGTTTCTACAGCATGTTCAGGGGTCTGGAAGCAGGAGAGATAGTATCTTGAAGATGGCTAAAACCTTAAGAAATTATATTTAAGAGTCCATTTCTTCTGTAATAACCAGAAAAAAAGAATTAAGCTATCCCACAAAAGAGAGGGGAAAAAAATCAATGAAGTGTCAGTCACGTTGAAATTCTTCATCTCTGTACATGATGAAGTCTGACAACATCCCCCTCCTTCCTATGGCAGGGATAAGCTGATTATCCATTATGCACAGCAACAAGTTTCTGCCAAATTCCCAGTTCCATAGAAATAATTCTAGGTTGGATTATGAAACCCTGTCAAACTGCTTCTAAAAACACAGAGGTTTTATATGTGTGTGCTTGTAAACTGAAAAATGTGTACATAAGAAACACATTAATAAAAAATGATGCTAGCAAATGACCTATTTTCAGGAAAATAAGCATGCAAACAGATAAGCTAAAGGTCATGTAGTAAGTGCTGGAAAACAGAAAACAGTACTAGAAATAAAAAGTGAAAGCAGAAGACACAAGACACAAAATTAAGTCAATCATATCCATTCCTGAAAATTTACATCTAAGCCAGAGGGAGACAGAGGCAGGTGGATCTCTTTGAGTTCAAGGCCAGGTTGGTCTTGAACTAGAACAGAGATAGTTCCAGGACAACCAAGGCTACCTTTTTTGATAAACAAAAAACGAAAATAAAAAAATTAGATCTGATGAAGTATATGCAGGTACACCAATGATAGATGGCCTTCTGTCCTATCAGGACTTTCTAGCCGCAAACCAATATCCTAAATCTTACTTAAATGGAAATGGTTGAGCAAGGTTGAAAATAAAGGAATATAGGAAGGGATTGAGAATATAGCCCTAAAGTAGAGACCCACCTAGCATGTGTGAGAGCCTAGGTTCCATCCCCAGAAACACGCGCGCGTGCGCGCGCACACACTTACACACACACAGAGAGAGAGAGAGAGAGAGAGAGAGAGAGAGAGAGAGAGAGAGAGAGAGAGAGAGAGAGGGAGAGAGTTTTAAATAAAATTTCAACAGACATTCACATA